ATATGTATTTGGTTATCACATTTACGGTAAATGCATAATCACCCTCATCGCACAATTGCATTTCTTCAAGAAACTGAATTTCAAAACATCGTGTTTCTGTCCACTTTCTGTCCACTTTCTGTCTGGGTTCTATGTGACGTCATGTGAAAACATGGGCCAATAATCTGGTTTTGGGTGGGATTTTGTGTGGATTTTGTTTGGATTGAGCCCCATGTGATAACGTCCTATGAGAAGTGCAGCAGAATTAGAAAGGAGGATAATAAAAAACACATTAAGGGGGAAGAGGTGAGAAGGCTAATATATCCAAAAATGTGGTCAGGGGGAAGAAGGAGAAAAAGAACAAGTGAAAGGGTAACTTAGGAAAAAAGATGAATGTAACTAGGAGATATGGGAAGGCTGAGAAGGAGAAAGAGAAAGAGAAGAGTGGGGATTAGAGAGGAGGGAGATATTTAGGCATGAGTTGTATACAATAGAGGAGAAAAGAAGAAAGAAGATGAGGAGAGATGAGATTACATTTAGATGGGAGTTGTGGGAGAAGAAAGAGAAACTAGGGAACAAATGCTTAGGGAATGAAGAGAGGGAAAAGATAAGTGTAGGTAGGAGTTGTGGGCAAGGGGAGAAGAAATATAGGAAGAGAGGGGGAAGAGGGAGGGAAGGAGAAAACTTTTAGCCACGAGTGGTTGGTGTGCAGAAAAAGAGGGGAGGAAAGAGAAAGGATGAGACAGAAGTGAAATCAAGAATAAATAAAGAAAGTGTAGTGGAAAAAACAACTGTTGCAAATTAACTCCCAGAATCCACGGTTCCTTGCAGAGCTTGATGCAGAACAGGGGACTACAAATAATTTTAAAACATAGGTTTATTGCTGGCAAGTCCCAGTGTAATCAACATTCAGATCATTAGGCAAAGGACAAGCCAAGATGGCCATCGTTTTATGCACTCACAGACAAAGAAATGCAAAGCTGACATTCTATTGGATCAGGGGTAGGCAACCTTTCCCCTTTAAGGGCCGAGGGACTTCAGCTCCCAGAAGCCTCAGCCATGTTGGCCAATAGTCCCATGTTGGCCAATAGCTCCTGGGATTCTGGGAGCTGAAGTCCCTCGGCCCTTAAAGGGGAAAGGTTGCCTACCCCTGTATTGGATGCTCTAAACTTTAAACACACAGAATCCTGAGCAATGAGAATACAGATTTCAGAATGCATTATAATATGCTTAAGTTATCATGTTGCCATGCCAACTACATACCAAAATCTCTTATCAGTAAATAAACTGGTGTGTACCAGGCAGAAGGCCCTTTTGCACAAACAAGAGTAGTTGCCAATGATTTATTATGGCTCTCTGGCCCACACTGGCTCCTAATGAAGGTCTTTAATGCCTCAGGTTACTAGGCCTGGGGTCAAACTGTATCTAGCATTCTTTGTGTTTAAACCTTCCAGCATTTTCCTTAGAGGCCCACTTCCCAGAATTCCCTTCGCATGGCTGCTTGGCCATTATTTTACACTTACAATAGCACATATCTCTAATTTAGGCATATAAAACAATAATTAAAGAAATTCTCCTGCCTCAAAAGGAATCAGAACTGAAAGAGAAAAACAGATCATGATGCAAACCATGTGTAACTCAGACCAAGGAAGGAAAGTGTATTGCAGTTTCAGCTGTTTAGAGTAGGGTGGGGACATAAGTGGACAAATATAGGAAAATCCACAAAGCAGAAATCCTGTAGTCACTGATTCACTTACTCCTGAGTTAGCGCAGTATTCCTCCAGGCTGACCATGACCTTCTAATGAGCCCTTGTGACAGCTATGATTTGTTAAACTGTATGAGAGAGAGGAGAGCACAGTAGATGGCCCACCAGACTCTCCCATCAGATTACAGCAGCAGCCCCAAAATGACCTGCAGCAGCAGATCCTGAAACACACAGGTTATGTTGTTTGTTTTTGTTTTTGTTTTTTAAAAAATACATTTTATTGTCAAGACATTTTCTTTTCAATTTATCCTGAGATTTTCTCCTGTTGCTCCAAGGCCAGGACCTGAGATCAGGGAACCCTATTGCCAATCATCAGCTCAGAAATCTGTCAAGAGTGCTCTATGCCTCTGTGCCTCCCATGGAAGTCTATTGGTTGTTGGGTGAGAAGGAATCATTTATTGCAAAGGACTTTCCTGCTCTGTGCTGTGACGTCTTGTGCTCCTAACATCAGTCTCACCTACTGCTATGATTCAGCCTGTATCAGAGTACCAGAAAAAAATTTCATGCCTCTGAGTTAGAGGTTCAAGGGTTCATTCCTTCTGACTGACTGACAGGGCAGGATGCTACCCCTTTCCACTAAGTGATGGGGTCAGAGGGCCAGAATTCAACTGTAAGAGCAATTGTTTGATTCCCTATCTTCCTCTCAGCCTGAAGAGGAAAGTGATACTGGCAGTCAAAGGGGAACTTGGGTCACTTTGTGACTGTTGATGAGAGGAAGAAGAGAAATGTCTCTTCTCCAGATTGGTGTTTGAATTGCAAGGGCCTGCATAGTCACCATTTTCACTCTTCTCTCATCTCTTTACCACTGCCATTCTCTACTTTTCCTAAGTGGCAATTGGAAAAGGAAGGTAATGGTTAAAAAAATAAAATTAGAAGTCCCTATCAATTACACACCTTCTTTTTAAAAAAACTGGCAAAAACAGTGTGCAATTTCAGATAATAACACATAATCCCTAGTAATCCTCCACAGACAGCATGAACTGACTGTCATTAGTATGCTTTCCAGGCTCTTGTTTTGCATACACACCAGGTTCTGCTGAATGCTAGTCCCCCTGGTAACTGTCCTATTAAGGGATAGGAAATGTTGCTTTAACTCAAAATGTGCACTAAAAGAAAATAATCTCTGTCTACATTCAGGAGAAAGGGGACATGCTATGCCAAGAAACACATTATACCTCCCTCCTGGTTCCCAAGAAGACTACAATACAATTGAAATATGGAGGTTTATTTTATTTCTGTTTATTGGCAGTATAAGCCAGTGGGGTAGGCTTAACAACTGGCAAAGATAAAAATAAATCTTCAAAGACAAATCACTTCCAGTCTCCATTCCTTAGGGCTTCTTCTATTAACAAAGGGAGGTTCTTTGGACGAGCAGAACAACTCCAGCAAGGCAGGTCAAACAGGATGATACACTTTATTTGGGACAAGTTTTGTTTAAAATGGAGGGCCCTAAACTCTTGAGCCATGCAGAACATTGCTTTAATGTTCCCTAGCCGCTCCCTGTTACTGGAATTGCCTTCCTATCCAGTTTCAGACTACTACTTCAATGGCAAGTTTCAAGTCTAGATTAAAGATGATTTTATTTTATGAAGCCTTTCAGCTCAAAATTTAGACACTGCTGCCAACAAAATTGAACTCTTTTACTCTTTTATTATATTATTGTTTCATGATTTTGTTTTGATTTAGACATTAATGATCTTAATATTTTATTAACTTTCTTCTTCTATTTTTAGACTGTACACCATGGGCAGGATTTTATTTGTATTATGGCTACTAATATTGTAAATTGTCTTGCAAATCTATGGTGCTGTATAAATAAAAGTTAATAATAATAATAATAATAATAATAATAATAATAATAATAATAATAATAATAATAATAATAATAATAATAATAATAATAATAATAATAATAATAATAATAAATTATTATTATTATTATTATTATTATTATTATTATTATTATTATTATTATTATTATTATTATTATTATTATTATTATTTAAGGTGTAAGGCCCAATTGGTCATGTAGTTTGAATTAAATATGATTTTATTTTGCATCTTCTACAAAATCTACAGTGCTGTATAAATAAATTTTAATAATAATAACAATAACAATAATAATTGCAACAACATGTTGTTGTTGTTGTTGTTGTTGTTATTATTATTATTATTATTATTATTATTATTATTATTATTATTATTATTATTATTATTATTATTATTATTATTATTATTATTATTATTATTATTATTATTATTATTTAAGGTGTAAGGTCCAATTGGTCATGTAGATTGAAACTAGACCATTAAAAAAAGTGATCCTGAATGGTCTAGTTTCAGCCTACATGACCAGTTGGACTTCTCGCCTTAAAGCAATGTTCTGTGTGGCTCAAGAGTTTAGGGCCCTCAAGTTAATCCAAAATTAAAGGATATGAGAAAGAAGAGAAGTGAGAAGAATAGAATAGTAGGGATAGGGTCGTTTTCCAAGCAGGTTGGTAGAAATGAAAGTGGAATGATGAGTTGAGTAGGAAACACATAGAGGGAAAGAGTTAAACTCTAGCTTCAGTATTGCTGCTCCTGATCTAGCCTCCAGGTCTTTTTACTGATTTTGTATTGCTCAGAATAGTGAGGAGATCTTCCTTGTAATGTGTACTCTAGTCTAACTTTATGTGATGAACACCAGTTATCACACAGACATTTCCCCACTTCTCTTGGAAAGCAAAAGCTGAGCTCTATTTGACAAGGAAAGGAGGTGAGCAAAGCTTTTGATATTTCTTCTCATTGGTGAGTTGATGCAAGAGAAAAACAAAAAAAAAGCATTGAGGCTTCCTTTACCTGTCAATCACAGCTGTGGCTTTTCTTCATTGACCAGAACAAAAGTAGTGTGATGTGTGGTGATTGTTTCTCACCAATGTGTAGAATACTGCCTGTGCATTTTATCTTATTGCTGGATCTGAAAAGGACTCCAGAATTACCTTTTTCATTTTAAATAAAATTTAAGATTCTGCTCATTGCCCAAACAAGAACTAAGGGAAAGAGAGTTACATAACTTTTTTAAAAAAATGAAAGGAATCTAATTTCCCAATTACAGCACAGTGCAATTAATAAAATGGCTTTGTAAGAGACCAACACTCAAAAAGTTGGTTTCAGTTTTAAGTGGGATATAGGATTCCTATATCCTATATTGTGATGTATATTTCCCCAAAACAGAAATTTTCAGTACAGTATTAATTCAATGAAAGTTCAATGAGAGCCAACATGGCGTAGTGGTTTGAGTGTTGGACTATGACTCCGAAGACCAGGATTCAAATCCTGTTCAGCCATGTAAAAAACCCACTGGGTGACCTTGAGGAAGTCACATTCTCTAAGCCTAAGAAGATAGCAATGGCACAACATTTCTAAAGAAACATGCCAAGAAAACACCGCAATAGGTTAACTTTAGGGTTGCCATAAGTCAGAAATGACTCAAAGGCACAACTATAACAACAGCAGCAGGAGCAGCAGCAGCAGCAGCAACAACAACAACAACATGAGGCTCTTATAAACAGAAAGATTCACATAGAACCACATGCTTGGGAGCTTATTGCAGAGTGTAATCCAGGGACTGCTGGTGAATCCCATGTCAGTGGAGCAGTGAATCCACTTTGTATTTTAGTCAGAATTTTAAAGTCACTGTCTACTCTATCTTGGATCTTGTGCTGGAAGGCAGGTGGGATATAAATTAAATAAATAAATGAGATGCTGAACTTTTGGGGGGATGTTGCAATCCATACTTCTGTGGAGGGTGGGGTATGTATGAAAAACATGACAAGGTCGTTAGAGGTTTAGCCTTTGGTTCCTTCATATGTACTCAGCCTTTCATAGAGGAAGTGAGTTCTGATTTGCCAGGGAAAATCCATCTATGATCCATACACAGACAGGTTTATGATTCATATTCCTCTGTGGGATAGGACTAGCTGCACCATGAAGAAGCAGTTTCTGAATATCCCTAGGAACAAAATAGCTGTACAACCTTTTAGCACCTTTGTATATTGCTGTACTTCAGGAGCCCACATGATTTCCAAATGCATTCTGCTTTATACCTTCTGCTATGTATTCCAGCACGGTTTTGTCAAATATTTCTTGTACTATAACATGTAATCGTAAAAGCAACAGGATGCCAATGATAGCACTTAGTGCTATTGAGAGTGTTATTTGTAATTGAACAACTGTTATAGAATCAAATTTTAAATCTCAGGTTTGTCATTTATTTCATGGTAGAAAAGGAATGGTCTGTGTTTGCGTGCAAGTGTGTGCGGTGTCCAACCATGGGAAAAATATCAACATGAAAAATCAACTTCTATCCACATATCATTTTTTTTTTTACTTTTGTACTTTTATATTGAACTCAACCCAAATGGCACAGCAGGGATGTACTAGTGAAATGTAAAAAATCAGTCTGTATTTGATGGAATGGAGAAAATCTCTGGAAATAGATTATTTTTGTGAGCTCTAGTAACATTTTAGACAAAAAAGAAGGTGAGAGAGAATGATCAGGGAGTGGGGATGTATAAATGGCATCTCAGGGGATAAGCTAACCAAGTCAATGGGAAGAAGGTGTAGCATCCATAACCTTCAAGAATCAGTAGAAATTTATTATATGATTCTGGGGGATGTGGTTCACACTGGGTGAACTGACAGAAAGAAAAAGAAAATGACTGAACTGGTAAACTGGAACAATGTAAAGACCATATAGAAACAAGAGCTGGAATCCTGTGGGATTTAAGTATGTGTAATCACCATATTTACAGTGCATTGCAGTGAATCCTGGCTCAACTTCCCCAATCCCCACTTATCAGGAAGCAGCCATTGAAGTTGATAGTAGTCTGTTCCATTGTTGAGCAGGAAGAAGCTGACTGCCATTTCCACTGTTATCACCTCCACCCTGTGAGTGATCTCTGGTGCAACAGGCAGAATTGGGGCCCCAGTCACATTTTTCCTTCATGCCAGAGATCATTCAAGGAATGGGTGGGAACACCAGGCAGATGCTTCTTGACTGACAGAACAGCTCTCTGTTGATTGCAGTGGCTGCTTTCTAGTAAGCAGCCACTGCAGTGGCTGCTTTCTAGTGGAAGCTGGGGGACTTTCACAATCCCTAAACAGACCCCAAACTAGGGACTGCATAGTGATTGTTAATATGTAATAGTTATAAGTCCATAATTCTAGGTTTGTTGTAGTTGTGTGCCTTCAAATCAGTTACGCTTATGGCATCCGTAAGGAGACCCTATTACAGGGGTTTGGGGAAGTTGAGTGTGTGACTTGCCCAAGGTCAACCTTGGGGAATTGAACCTTGGTTTTCAGAATCATAGTCCAACATTCAAACCACTATACCATGCTGGTTCTCAATTCTGGGTTACACATTCATAATTGTTATAGAGCATCCAGGCCAATTGCTTTGATCCTGCATTGTATCCATAGCAATGTAGATTAAATGTAGGTATGAATGACTTAGGGCATTGATCCTCAAAACTCAACTTGAACTCCAATGTAATTTTGCTGTGCAGTTAACTGGGGTACTGCAGGGATGATGCAGTCAGTATCCTCCCACCCTCAAACCCTGGTGCAATGAGGCACCCCACTTGACCAAGCCACAGATCTCCATTGTTCAGAATGGCTCCCTGAAGTTTCAGGTGGGTTTGGGGGGGGGGCATTTATGATTGTGGCCATAGTGCCATCATCATGAATATGTAGAAAGCTGATTACAGAGCAGTTACAGATTTGTAATCCTAGGCTACAAACACATAGCTGCAATGTATGAAACCAGCTCCTGTCTTCAGCAGTATGTACAATGTTGATATGCACTTTTAAAACATGTCATAAAAAATTTTGGTTGTCAAGATTACCAATGACTTCCAGGTCATTGGGATACTGAAGCTGCTCTTCATGTTAGTCTGAACTGTAAAGGGACTAAACCTATTGGCAGGCAGAGTTCATCCCCTTTAACCCTTCCTTTACATTTTAGAATAAAACCCAGAGTAGAGTCACAGGTCTATTGATATGGAAACTATGAGCCACCAATGTTGTTTTGTAAGAACATATTCTAATATCTGCATGATTAGGATATAAAGTGTTGATTAGGGATGTAATTTCCTTCCCTAATTTCATTCTTGAAGGAAACAATGAATGATTTTAGCAATTTTCTTCCCACTGTGAGAGTCTTTGACAAGATCATTTTTTAAAGACTGTTCATTGTACGGGAATTATTCTGTACAAAATTTGCATGTGGTTAGTTTGTGAGGAAAACAGCAAAATGCTGTAATAGGGGACTTATTCTGCATAAAATTTATACATGTTCTTTTACACAGAAAGCAACATTTTCTACACAGAAATATTTCTCCAACAAACAAACAAAAACAAAAAAGAAGTGTAATTTTTGTTCAGAATAAGTCCTAAACAGTGATTCTCAAGAAACACGTTTTTCAATCATTTCCCAATTTTTAAAAATATTATTTCCATCCCTATGGTTGATGACACAAAAGTGGTTTTACAGTGAATTTTGTAATGCAGTGAAGGAAACAGTTCTTTCTATGCCACCTTCTTAGGTTGAAGACAGTTTCATCCACTGAAATCAACATGGAAATGCTTTTACATAGAAGAATTCAGTGCAGCAGAACACCCGCATTTCTGGCATACAGTCAGAGTGAGAGATATAATTCCTTTTACACAGGCAGTGTCATCTCATGGAATCATTGTAGTAGTGGAGCTATAAATAGAGGCTTTTATAATACACTCCTAAGCATTTTTACTCAAATGTGAGTCTTATTGAGCTCAGTGCAGCTTACATTATTGATCAGTGTGTTTTGGCTCACTCAGATTGGCTTTCTCATCCATTTCAACTTTGCTGTTGAAAACCTGACAAGCCAGACTGATCTCTCTGGCTGTGTTGAGTGCCAGCTCTCTTACCCCACCACTACCAGCACCCACCACACAACGGCATGTGGCGATGGAGGAGCCTCGGGGGCTCTGGGAGGCAGGCAAAGGCTGAGCAAGGCTATTTAGCCTGCCCACTTCTCCAGAAGCCCCAGCAGCCCCAGGAGAAGGACAGGGAGGAGGTGGCTCTCTTACCCCACCACTACCACCACCCAATGCCAAGTGGCAACGGAGGAGCCTTGGGAGCTCTGGGAGGCAGGCAAGGGCTGGGCAAGGCTATTTAGCCTACCTACTTCTCCAGCAGCCCCAGCAGCCCTGGGAGAAGAACAGGGAGGAGGCGGCTCTCTTACCCCACCACTACCACCCAATGCTGAGCGGTAACAGAGGACCCTCAGGAGCTCTGGGAGGCAGGCAAGGGCTGGTCAAGGCTATTTAGCCTGCCCACTTCTCCAGCAACCCCAGTAGCCCCAGTAGCCCCGGGAGAAGGACAGGGAAAGAGGTGGCTCTCTCAACCCATTACCATCATTACATCAAAGAAGGAAGACCTCCTCCCCTCAGCTTGAAAGATCATTCATAGTCCTTGGACAATGACCTGTTTAAGAACCTTAGGGCTGTTAAAACAACTTGTAGATGGAAGGCATTGGGGAAGAGCTAATAGAGATCCACCCGGGAGTGGTGATTGAGGTTGTATGGGGCAGAGGAAGGTATGGTGTCAACAGAGTGGACCATTGTTACAAAAGAAGGCAGGTTAGATGTTTGAAAGTGATCCTGCCTTCAGTTCACCCTGTTACCCAGAGTAGGCTGGGGAGCTTGCCAACCTTGCCACAGAACCTTACCTTGCTCCTTTGCAATGCCAGGTCGATAAAAAACAAGACCCATATTATTCACATCCTTGGGGATGAAAAGGCCAATCTGGCATGCTTCATGGAAACCTGGCTGGGGGAGGATAGCACCATCACCTGGAATCAGGCTCTCCCAGCCGGGTATTCTGTTTATGAGCAGGTAAGGGAAAGTGGGGATGTGTGTTGCTCTGGTTCACAAAGACAACCTTTCCTTGACCAGGATACCTATTCAGAAAATGGACCACTTTGAGTGTATGTACCTGAGCCTGAAAACTAGCGATAGTATAGGGATTCTGTTGGTATACCGTCCACCCCGTTGCTTAACAGACTCCCTTTCCAAGCTGACACAGCTGGTCTCAGAGTTGCTGCTGGAGTTGCCCAGACTTTTAGTTCTGGAGAGGGTGTCAGTCGGGGAGAGTTGCTCCTCAAAAATTGAGTTAAAATACAGTGTCCCGCAGGGTGTTATTCTGTCCCCGATGTTGTTTAACATCTATATGAAACCACTGGGAGAGATAATTGGGAGACATGGGGCAGGATGTTATCAATATGCTGATGACACCCAAATATATTTC